TATCCCTTATTATGATTTTAATATAGTTTCGTCTAAGTTTCGACTGTTATTAAGGGGTTTCGTCCCTCATCTATAAAGTGGATTCAAAATTCTTTTTTTTTTTTTTTTTTTTTGAAATCGAAGCATGAATTCCTGTGATCGACATAGCGTTTTTTATATTTACATACAGTATTTTTTGACTTATCAAGGGTACAGTACAATAAAGGTTTAAATTTGTTAGTTCTTAATAAAGAAAGTTATATAATTTACAGATACCAAAAATTAAATGCTTCAATTGACAATAAAAAATTAAATAAATATAAGTTATCAAACTTTAAATTGAAACTTCTTGAAATAAATAATTTTTAACATATAATTGTTTAGAAGAATCAAAAAATCCATATACCAATTAATTATTTGAGGTTCTTTATTTTCTAGTATAAGTTCTGTCCTGGAATTCTAGATTTTTAAGACACATTTTATTAAACGTTTAAAATAAACAAAAAACAAAAACAAATAGTAAGGAAATTTAATGCTATATTAAAATTTTTTTGGCAGATTGCCGATTCTTCCTCTCAGTGAAAACTCATGATAAAGAATAATGTTTTATTTTTTATTTTTTTTCTATAAAAAATATTAAACGAAAAACTTATTAAAAAAAAAACTTGGGAATGTTGAAATAAAAACATTTTTCACTCAGAGTAAACTCGGAACAAAATTTTTATTTTATTTTATGGAAATAACATTACATGTGGGTGTTGGTTTTTTTTTTCCTATAGGCAAATTTTTTTTTTTTTGAAATCATTTTGAATTCAAATAAGAAATGTTGAGGAGAAATTATTTAAAAAGACGATACTAAAATTTATTATTTAAAATTTTACTATTAAATTATTATTTTATAAAAATTATTTTTACAGGATTAATTTTTGTAATAATTGAATACAATTTCGTATCACTTGAGATTTGCTATTTATGGGACATTGTTACAATTTTTAAAAAGAAAAATTATTTGCTGTGGTATTAAATAGCTCCCATTTATGGTTAAAGTTAAAAATTTTGAATTTTATAAGGGTCCGAAACTTTTTTACTAATGTCGATCATTTCTAAATTCTAATTTTAGATTTTTCGACTGATGTTACACAAGCAAATGAGAAATTTTTGACGGCCTTATTGCTTGCTTTGTTAATAAGATAATCGACTATAAAACTTTAACCAAATAAAGTAAACGATTTGAGATTTATGTCATGTCATCAAATGTATACAAGATTTTTAACAGGACAGGTAATATCGTGGGTCTTTCATTTATTGTTTATTTATTTTTTTTATTAAAAAATTAAAAAACATTTTTCACTCAGTAAAAACTCGGGACAAAATTTTTATTTTATTTTATGGAAATAACATTAAATGTGGGAGTTGGTTTTTTTTTCCTATAGGCAAAATTTTTTTTTTTTTGAAATCATTTTGAATTCAAATAGGAAATGTTGAGGCGAAGTGGAACCTATGATTACAAGAAAATAGAACGATTTGGGATTTATGTCATGTCATCAAATGTGTACAAGATTTTTAACAGAACAGGTAATATCGTGGGTCTTTCATTTTTTATTTTTTTTTTTTTTATTAAAAAATTAAACATTGACGTTTTTCACTCAAAGCAGACAAAATTTTTTTATTTTATGGAAATGAAACTGAAAACTACAATTAAATGTCATTAAAGCCTTCAAGTCTCGAAAAAATTTCAAAATGGAAACATAAATATAACATAACATAATAAAGGTCAATGATAGGAATTTCCATTCAAAGCATCTTAAATCACTGGGTACGTAGACTTTTTTTTTCATTTTTTATTTTTTTCGCTAACTCCATAAACAGTGGCAATAGAATTGCTGTTTTAGGGATTTTAAATGCTGTGTAAGGCAATTTTATAGTTAAAAATAGAACTATTTTGGTGTACCATCAAATGTGTACAAGATTTTTAACCGGTAATATATTTTTTTTTTTTAATCATTTTTTAATGTTTATTTTTTTTCATTTTTATTTGCGTTGAGAAAGTCAAAATCTGAGTGATTTTGAATAATTATAAATAGCACGGTTTTAGAACAGTGAGCGGAGATATGATAAGGAGATGCATTTTTATTATTTTTAAAAAACAATATTTCATACATACTTCTATTTTTTTTTTAAAAAAAAAATAATAATTATGCCTAAAAAGATAAAGCAAAAAAATAATAAACTTGAAAATAATGACAACTCAAATAGTATTCTCAAACCAACTTACCCTCCCACTTTAATAGCAAATGATCTCATCAAAAATGCCATTAAACCCAACAAACCTAACAAAAGTAGAGCAATAACATTTCCAAACGCTTTTATCGCGTATAGAATGGCATTAATCAAAGAATATCGTAATAAGAACATTACATTACCCCGTATGGGCCAACTTTCTAAACTTGCAAAAAATTCATGGGAGGAAGAATCAAAAGATGTCAAAGAATTTTACAATAAGCTAGCTGAGGATGTCAAATCTTTGTATAAGCAAAACAACATTCAAATTATATTTGATAAGCATATGGTAGTAAATGATCAACAAAACGCGAGGGGTGCAGAATCGGCTTACGTCAATCATGATACCGAGGTATTTCCTGTCGGTACCTTTACGCAAAATTCATCAAGTGAGTATCTTCCAAAGGATTCTTCTATAAATTATAACTTTTACGAAGATCCGTATGGACAGAATTCATCTGATCGGGAATTACTTTATATACTTGATTTTCATTTCAAAATTGATACAAATGAATATATTTAGAAAATGAAGCGGTTGGCAATAAATATTATCCCCTAACCGACACCATTTACATAATTATGCGATTATACTTAATCAATATTGTAATATTAATTGACATATTTAAAATTTTGACATTATCGAATTTGTATCATTGCATTTTAAGAGAATTATATTTTAATGAGTTTTTATTTTTTTTTATAAAAATTATCAATATTTTTTTTAACACTGCATTATTGTTAAAAAATTATAAAATTATAAAATAATTATTTGCAATTTAATTTTGTTAACAAATCTGTGAAATGTTATATTTATAATATCCTGAACATCTGGCTGCACATAATATAGTCTTCAATAAGATCATAATTTGTGGTTTTAATGTAGTAACATCAATTGTGTAAATGGCAGGTGATAAATCATATATCCCCCGGCTAATAGGAATAGTAAAATTTTACTTATTCCTTAGGATAATTAGGATAAGTAATACTTATAAATTATAAAATAATAAGCGACCACAGAAGTTAAGCAGAATATAATATACGGTTTGATGCACATAACAGAACCTTGTCTGCTAATTAGTTTTGTAAATTTTTGTACTTGTGTTACGATAAATTGCAAAAGTAATGTTTTGAATA